GCTCTGCTTTTTTGTTTTCTTTGTTTTTGCTTTTTTTGTTTGTTTTTTTTTGCTCTCACTCTTAGGTCTATTCTGTACATACCCATCATAACATGTCCATTAACACCTTGACGACAGCGCGGCAACTATGTATGCCGCCATTTTTGCACCTCATCGGACATTGTGGCAACTATGTATGCCACACCCATTACATTTTTTTCGCACATGCCCGATTTCTTCCCAAGTTTTTTGTGTTCATTTTATAGGCCATACATCAACATAACCAAGAACCACGTGGCTTACAGAATGGCCAAATACTCTTTAGTCTAGCAGAGGGTGAATATAAACCCAGTCGCACGGCAAAATATCTGTTTAGTGAAATTCAAACCGCTAAAACCACTAAAGCGATTGGAGGCAAAAATTGCTTTTTCATTCCCCTTACACGTCTAACTTCTGTAGTTGCTCCAGATAAATGAAACACATTGAACATTTGAAAACACTTGATTGCATCTAGTATTGCGTATTTACAGCTCAAAATCCACGGATTTGTGAGGCGGCGGCGCTCGCAAATCGCTCTGGTCCCACGCGGTGCAAAAACCCAAAACGCGCGATGTCGTCAACGTGTGAAACAGTTTCAGATCGTAAAGCGGTCGATAATGAAATTGTGGATGTCGGGTTGACTACAAATGAAAAGCAAGGAAATCGCTAGTGGAGCCCTCAGACAAGGACCCCCACTACTTCTCTTGAAGGAAGAAAGGGGTGGACCGGACGCGTTGTGCGAACTTGCTTGTCATGAACCTATTACTGGATTCCTGCAATTGATTTCCATTGCTAGAAAGAGAGATAAGCTTCTAAATATAACAGTTTCTGGGACAAAAACGGCACCTGAACGTTTTAAAGGACCCAGTCCAAATAGTCTCTGTAATCCCGAAACGATCGCACATCTCTACCCAGCCAAATTGCCAATGATTGCCAATGCACTGGCTAGAAATCATTTAACACTACCCGAAACCCGAGAAATGGGACCCTTTCCTTGCCCGTTGATTTGCGCATTGATGCGACTCTCATCGCTGTGCCCTCTTCAACACTACGCTCTCTCTGCTATCTAATCACTCGCCACGTATAGACCTGCGGCGAGTGATTAGATAGTCGGTGGGCGTACCCGCCGCGCCAAGAGTGAGCCATGCTAGATCGCCGGAGTCAAATCTTTCCGCTGCCAGTTGCGCGTCATACAGCGCCCCTAAGAGCCGTCTCCCAACTATGCAATTTTCCCATCCATTGACCTTCGCTTTGATCGTGAATCTCTAGTCTAACTGAAAGTTTCCTAAATGCAATCCTGGCGAGGTGTGAGACAAAGGCGTGAAGTAGATAAAAGTGCGATCTGAGT